GTTTTCCATTGCACTGCTCTTGTCCTGTTCGCTTTCCCATTCCATTCGATTAATCTATATCAAAACTTACATCTTTTGATTGAAACAGTTTTGTAACACTAAAAAACAGCTCTGTCGCTTCTTGTGTAGCCATAGTTTCGCCGAGGTGGAGTAGGTAAACGATTTTTGTAAGTAGCAAGCGACATTTACGAGGACTGATTGGGGTATCGTTGAATACTCTGGCTTCTTGGAGGACGGTTGTTTTGTCCAGGTGATAAAAAACACCCAGGTCGCCTATATTTGAGCAAGGGACGAAAAAGTTGGATGAGGAAAGGAAGATCGGATGTTGGGACGCGAATTGTAAGTTAACATAGATCACGGAAATAGATAAAATAATGATTTAGCAAATATCCTGGATTGTGTGATTGATGATAAAAGCATTCTGTATACTAGTCAGTATTTAAATAATTAATCGTATAAAATTGCTTAAATATTTGTGAAGAATATGCCAATTGAATTCAAAATTGAATTATCAGAAGTACTATCGAATTAATGAACAAATTACATAAATCAGTCCACCATTCCTCTGGGCAATGTCACGATTTTCGTAATCACGCAATCGTGAAATACAATCACAGTTGAACCTTAAGATTACTGCTTCCATCAGCCCACCTCGTACACTCTCTTTTCGGTCTCTACGTTTCCAGTTCATTATTACCTGAATCTTCGTCCTTCTTTGCAACATTCATTTTGCCGATTACCTTCCAGTCCCAGCCTTGTCAGAATATGAAAATTTAACATTTCCCACTCGTTATCAATCAGCAGAAAATTCAACGGTGTGTGACCAATGGACCAATCAGCACGCAGGAGTGGGATAATTGAAATTGAGAGAATTTGGGATGTTGAATATTTGCATTTCATGTAATGTATCAAGGTTGTACGCAGCCTTGAGGGAATAGAAACATGTCTGACGATAATTTTATGTTGGAAGATGATGAGGAGGAGGTGTATAATTTCGATTATGAGGATGACGAGCAAGAAGAACCTGATGTTGATCTAGAAAATAAATACTACAATGCCAAAGGTAGATTCTGCGGAAGTAAATTTAATAATAAGCACTAGTTGAGTTGAACGTTGCGTGATGGTCTTTTCCTCAAATTTTATCGGGTGTTTTTTATGTAATATTTGCGACATCCTGAAGATAAATTTCTGATTTATTGTCATTAGCATGGAAGGAAGATGATCCAGAAGCAGCGATACGTGAATTTCAAAGTGTCGTTGATACAGAGACGGAAAAGGGCGATTGGTAAAATAGATTGGCTTCGAATGTATCGATTCACTGATCGGGTGTAGTAATTATATTTTGCTGATGTAGGGGATTTAAGGCGTTAAAGCAGATGGCAAAGCTATCATTTAAAGATGGAGACTACGATGCGGTATTTTTTTTTTTCCTTTACAGATTTTGGCACTTTACATCGAACTCTCAATCTCACGGGTCTTTCTTTTTACACTTTTTTGCAGACGCTCTCGTATTACAAACAGCTCCTCACTTACACGAAATCAGCCGTGACGCGTAATTACAGTGAAAAGAGCATAAACAATATACTAGATTTTATATCATCATCTCAGGATATGACCTTTATGGAGAACTTCTATTCGACAACTTTGGCCGCATTAGAGGAGGCGAAGAACGAGGTTTGGAAAAGAGATGTCACTTGTTGCTTTTATTGAAGAAAGTATGTAAACAAACTAATTGGAATTGTCTGATTAATAGCGTCTATGGGTGAAGACTAATCTGAAACTAGCCAAGTTATGGTTAGACAGGAAAGAATATACTCGCTTGAACAAGGTGAGAAGAGATCATTCTCATTCTTTGTGGTGCTGCCCACTTGCATTTTCTCACAGTACATTTTATTCACCTGAAAATTTCGCATTATCAGATCCTTCGTCAACTCCATCAGTCATGCCAGAAAGATGATGGAACTGATGATCAACGCAAAGGCACTCATCTTTTGGAAATCTTTGCTCTCGAGATTCAAATGTATACCGCGACCAAGAACAACAAGAAATTAAAGGCTCTTTATCAGCAATGTCTTCATGTCCAATCTGCTATACCACATCCGAGAATTATGGGTGTCATTAGAGAGTGTGGTGGAAAGATGCACATGGGTGAGAGTAAGTACAAGGAAAGGTCTGGGAGCAGAAACCAAGGCTCGAGGGGGGATTGTAATCTGGACCTATAAAAGAGAAGTTGGTGATGGGATATGGGAATTGTGGGATGGAAGAGGACTCATTGAATTCTTGTTTTTTATTGTTACAGAGGAATGGGATAAGGCGCAGACTGACTTCTTTGAGAGTTTCCGTAACTATGATGAAGCCGGTAGTCCACAGCGCATACAGGTGTTGAAGTGAGTAATTGGGGCGCTCTGATTTAATAATCATTTGTTACTATTTCTAAATATACGATTATTTGTTTTGATTTCTATTAGGTATCTCGTTCTTGCGAATATGTTGACAGAATCACAGATCAATCCCTTCGATTCACAAGAAACGAAACCGTAAGTTAATTCTCACATATTACTTACCGCTATAAATTATTTGGACTACTATTAACGCCGATATTATTTTTTAGCTACAAGAATGATCTACAAATAGTTGCAATGACAAACCTTGTAGGAGCCTATCAGCGTAAGGAAATTCGAGAATTTGAAAAAATTCTTCGAGGTAAGATGAGATTCTCATGCGTCGATCAGAGTTCAAGATCCTATACTAATGAACAACAATACTCATTACAACAAAAAGACAATCGGGCCACAATTATGGATGATCCGTTTATTCGCACCTATATTGATGACGTGTTGAAAAATATTCGTACACAAGTGCTGTTGAGATTAATAAAGCCATATACTCGAATAGAAATCCCCTTTGTATCAAAGGTATGGTTATTGTTCTTTTGTAAAACTTTGTTTATATCATATGGCCTCTGTGGTGTATTTATTGTCATTAACACGGTACTTTTTGCGCATTATCAAGCAACTAAACATTCCAGCACAGGAAGTAGAAGATTTGCTTGTTGGTCTGGTACTTGACAATAAAATTGTTGGCCGCATTGATCAAGTCAATCAACGTCTGGAATTATATAGGCAGTACGTATACGGTTAATTCGTAAAGAAATTATTACGATTATGGAACTAACTATCGTCTGTATGTAGGTCATCCGATACTCAAAGATATGCAGCGATTGACAAATGGTCCACGACGATTAATGCATTGTATAAGACATGTATTAATAGAGTAAATTGAATAAAAAGATTCGCAGTAATGGCAAACGGTTCTATAAAGATAATGTAAAAGACATGTAATAACAGAGTAAATTATTCCAAGTGAATAAATATAATCAGTCAGCAACGTATTAATTCGATTAATTTATTGATCTTATGTTGTGCTTCTCTAATCATTCGGTTTCCCTTATACGTATACGAGCTACACTTTATACACCAGATCCTGATTGATCTGCTGCAGCTGCAGGAGTACCATCCGCTGCTACCTTCTTTTTCCC